CAGTGCGACCTACGCCGGTAACTTACCATCTCTAGCGTTCGAGCGCCTGTTGCAATGGTAGTGCGTCGACGCGCGCCACCGCGAAGGCTAAACGATGTATTCAGCAGTGTCCTCATCTCCACTGCAGGATATCCAGTTTTGCACAGGAGTCCTTTTCACATGCCCTTCATCCTGAAGTTCTGAGCTCCCGTTCTGCTTTAACAAGACTTAAGTATTGGACGTCTTACAGATATCATCTATCTTCAATTCAAGCGACCAGCTTCCTTCAATTTCCGTTCTGGGCAATGGGTGCGTATTTCCTCGCCCACGTTCTCCAGTACCTTCAATGAATGGCATGCTTTCTCACTCGCTTCCGCACCTCAATCTCCAACTGTAGAGCTGTACATCAAGGTACGTTCTGGAAAGTAGCCGGTCCAACAACTTCAATCCCGTACGGCTACTCCTTTTCCATGATCACAATGTTCTGTTGAATTCAGGCTGTGGGCCCGTGGACATGGAAACTGAGATCTGAAATTCTCCGCACTCAAGCTGGTGCCTCATCATATCCACTTCTTCACATGAGAGGTCCTTATGGGGACGGAAATCAGGTACGAACGATGCTCATCTGGGCGTAGTCTTCCGTTCTTTACCTAAGAGCAGCAGGTATATTTCTGCAAATACTTATAACATACTGGAAAACGATGGGAACGTTGTGATACGCTGCGAAATAATACGAATTTCATTTCGTGTGCCCACGTAGGCGGTGGCGTCATTGCAAAAAGGAGATTTTCTATTAATCCAACGTAGCAAGAAAGTCCACGATCGGCTAGTCGTTGACTACTTTGGCACAACGCATCGAAGTATTTATGGGATACTGATGTTATTCTAGGCTCATCACTGAGTATGGGTAACGGCGCTGTTCGGCGTCGGGGGAGGGGGAGGACATTTTGCACTTTCGCTACTTCCCATCGACGTGTCGACCCATCTAGACAGCCTCTTCTCGAGTTGACAGGTTTTACCATGATGGCTTGACGAGCTTGCTCCAGCTTCACAAGAGTTCACAGGTTTCACCAGAGTGAGACTTGTAAACCGGAACTAGTGAAGCAAAAATGCAAACCCCCCCCCCCTTCCATCGCCGAACTGCGCCTGGGCAACTTTGGTGTCTATTTGTTTCCTTGGGGGACCTAATTTCTGAGGACCTTGTTTCTAGGAAAAAGTAAAATAACCTAGGAAAGCTGTCGTAGAACATTTCAACTTACATGCAATGTATAGCCACTGATTGAGTGGAATCAGCACAGTGGCTGAGCTGAAACGTATCACAGTTGGACAACTGGGAGATCGCACTTTTGGG